GAAGCAAACCACAGACTTTCCATGGTACAGTTTGTGTTTCGGTATCAAATAAAAGAAACAACTAGTGTTACAAAGAGAAAAAAAGAGAGATGTTTTCATATGAAAGAGAGGGTTGGGTAGCTCTTATTATTTGAATTGTGGTTCCTATAAGAGGCTTTCTCATCCCTTGAAAGGAGAACTTCAATTGTTTCGCCCCGTTACCAGAGAACAAAGGTTTTGGTGGGGATGCTGGAGCCCCCCTCACCCCCGCAGAGGTGGGGAAGGGGCAGGAACGAGCGGCTGCGTCACAGCCACCGCCGGCAAGCAGATGAGCAACCAGCCCGCCAATTTATTAGCCCACAAAGGCAGAAAAAGGAGGATTCAATGCAGGCAGCACAATCGCTAGCACGCTTCTAAGAAGAATATTAAAAAAAAAAAATTATTCAAGTGGAGGGCTGGGAGGAGACTAACGATCCGCCGCCGGATTTGCGGCATCTCCCACTTCAAACGAAATCTGCTCGGCTTGGAGATCCCAAGCGGTGTTTCCCATCCTCGGCCAAACGGTTCACCTTGAGTCCCTGAGCCGATGAACCCCCGCGCAGCTTCTGCAATCCAAATGTTAGCAATTTCAGCGATAAGCAAAAATAAACCCTAGTTTCTCCTCCCAAGGCCATACTGGCTCCGCACAGCTAAGAGATATAAAACACGATTTTCTTACTAAAACAGGCAAGTGAAAAAGTACCAAGCGGATACACTCTATGCACAATGCACGCATTGTAATATAGGAATTTAAAGACGTTTCTACATTGATTATTTTTAGTAAAGCGGGAGGTTTTTTATTATTTGTTTTACATTTTTTTACCATCCCTAATGTATTTCGTGCATCACAGCAGCTTTAGGGTTAGAGAGGCTTGGGGTAGAAGCAATCCAGCAGATAAAAACGCCAGTGGCGAGATACGACAAATTTATAGTAAATACCTGTCAACTGCTATTTATCTAAATTATCCAGCTCTGGGATTCTCCAGAAATACTTCATCAACGAGGAGGCAGCTACAGTTTTAAGTCTGTATTTACATCAGAATCTGCTCTCTTTTTCTTTTTTTTTTTTTTGGACACTTGTTCTTTACCCTAAAATGACCCCTTTGTAGCTGGGATCAAAGAGCTGGGAGTGTCAATACCAGTGTCTTCATGAACATGTTAAGAACCCCAAAGTAATTGGTAACCAATTAGCATAAAGCTAAAAAAACCCACCTAGCTAAGGCAAACCCTAAATGGGTACTAACAGGCAACAGCACTGGCTGAAGCAGGAGCTTAAGCGACTTAAATCACCGTCAGCTGCCCTTCAGACAACTTCTTGGGAGCACCCTCCGTGCAAACCACACCGACCGTTTTTGGCTTTTTTTTTTTTTTTCTTTTAATTCCTTTCTGCTCTTCGTTCACTCTTTGCTCTCTGCCTTGCTACGGCTTACGGGAAACATGAAACAAAAACTGCTTTTCATTTTATGTTATGTAAAGCAAAGCCATTCCATGTCTTGGCCTTGAAATACAAGGCACCCAACAGCTGTTCAGATGCTCTAGCAGATAAACCATCTGGCCCAAACCTCACCTTTCCTAATTTATTTTGGATATCGATCAAAGCAACTCGAGCATTACATAGACTTTGGTCAAAGACAACATGAAAGATAAAAAACATCAATGGCAGAATCACTTCACTGAAATATCCTTGTTTCTTCTTTATATAATAATATTACCATTTTCAACAAACTTCTCTATTAACTCAAGGAAAAGATACACCTGATACCAACAGCCCAGCAGCCTCACCACGCTGCAGATGAATGTCCTTAAATAGTACATCCCTGCTGAGCAGAAACCAAGTGGGGTTTAGCGTTTACGACCAGCTAAAACCAGACACGGACGTTGGCCAACCGACCAAGGAGAGCAGGACGGGCCCCGAGACTCGCGTGTCCTGGCTCTGCCGCTGTCTCCCCCCGAACCCTTTTATATGATGCTCCTGACATCTGAAAAACCACCATATCCATGGTTCCAGCTAGTCTTTTTTTTTTTTTTTTTTTTTTTAATTTTCCTAGGTAAAGAACAGTACACACTTGTCTAATATTACCGGGATTCCCACCGAGACATCGAGGTTGCTCAGTGGTTACCGATTCATACCAACTCGAAACCAAACCTGTCATCTGAAAAGCCTTTTTTTCATGCAATTCAGAGTATATTCGCTGCATGCAGAAACCACAGGCAGGGTAAGGACTTCTTCTAGGCACTGTTTACGGACATAAACCCAAACCATGAAATCAAAGGGTTATTTGAGCAAAGAAGGGTTATCCGTGTGTACAACTCCGTGTATAATACACGAATACGCTCTTGTGATGTTTTGTTCGATATCTGCAGATATTCAAAGCCTCCCCTACGCCCATTTCTTCCTCAAGACACCGTCAGCCGGCCCGTTTCTCACAAGAAAAGGAATCGCCGATGAATAGTCCCATAAAGCATCCCACCAGAGCCTGTCCTCCCCGGAGCCGCCACCACGCCAAGGTCCAACTCTCAATTAACCCCCGCCTGACCTTCCTTCACTTTCTTTCTCCCTCCTCTGCCCTTCCTGAGAAAGTTCAGCGTTTCCTGGAAAAGTCTCCTTGCCTGTTTGATATTGTACTTCGCCTTGGTTGCTGAAGGAAGGATTTACAGGTGCCTGGCCCCCTCTGTAAGACCATGACCGAAGGCTGACCTCCCGTTACAATATGTGAACTTCTGCCCTGCTGATAAGGCTGGCAGATATGAGTAGGATTTTTCAAATAATCCTTTGGGAATTTATAAGCAGCACAGCCATAAAACCGAGGTGACTGGAAGGTCGATTTCACTAAAAATAATAAATATCTCAATGTTTATTCAACGTGGGCCTTTTTAACTGCAGGCCAAGCATTTAGATAACGCTATTGTAAATGACAAATATTAGGATTTTTTGGTAACTATTACATTATGATCCTTCCGTCTGACACTGATGTGGCCGTTTCCCTCGATGCTTGCTGGATCTCTGACATTGTTCAACCCAAGTTGGGCCTAGAAAGCCAGGGCAGGATTCAATCACAGGTCAGGAAAAGGGCAATTTTCTTTTCAGGAGCCTTTACTGCAGCCGGTTACCTTTTTCTCTTGCTCCTGTCTCACCAACACACCTTTAGAGCTCTGCTGTGTATTTTTTCTCATTACTAGGGCTTTTGGCTGAAACAGAGAAGGAGCAGGGGGAGGAGGGCTGGACGATCTCGGCTCAGGACGGGGGACGCGAGCCCACTGGCATGAAGCCCCTGCACCGGGTTTAACCTCACCACCACCAAGCCCACAGCACTCTTCCCACCTCCAGCAGAAGACAATCCCATCCAGATCCACCACAGAGCGCTGGCCATGAAACCCGTCTTCTGGCAGCAGCATCTCCCTAATACGCTTCGGAGGAGCGACTGCTATTTCAGATTAAAAAGCCAAGCAACGAGACAACAACAAAGCCCCAGCGTCGAAACGAGACCATTTCAAACGTGCAAAACCCTTCTATCCACCAGCGAAAGCTCTTCATCCCTTTCATAACAGCTTTATGTATAAATACCCAACGAAATAAATACCCAAAGAAATAAATACCCAACGAAATAAATACCCTTGCATTAAACAAATGCACGTAAGCTACACAAATAGGATTCCTAATCCTGTTTTCATTATACATATTCTTCACTGAAGTTTCTCCAAATAAAGTGACACTTGGAAATCCACAAAGCATTTCAGACCAGTTGTAATCTTCAATTAGCACACTCCCCGAACCGGGCTCCCAGCGCCGGGCTCGAGGAGGAGGGTTTTGTCCAAGATAAACAGAGTAACACATTTTGGGTAGGTTCACTTTTTCATTCCAATAAAATATCATGGCAATGTAGCCAAATTACATAATTATTAACAGATGAGGGCACAAGAAGATGTTATATAAATGCTTTTTATGACAATTCTTTTCCTTTCGCAGATTCATTTGTATGGATTGCTGGAGAAACTGGCTTTAGAAGTGCCTTAAAAACAATTCTCTCTCAAGCCTGGCTTGGCCGTGGAAAGGGAGGAAAGCTGCGAACAGAGCGCTCCTTTCATCCGCTGCCGGGGCTCCAGAGGGCTGACCCGCGGGGGGAGACCCCCCCGAAACCGCCTCTCTCCCAAGGACGCGAAAGAACGGAGGCAAACAGCACAGGTTCTTCGGGTCCGTGGATGCAAGGCTCGGATGCTGCTGGAAGCGTCTTAGACATTAAAAGTTGAAGGGTAAGCTACAAAGGGCATCTTATCTGCCCTTGTATAAATAAATAAGTTAAAAAATCAATACCTTTCGTACTCGTAATGCCTAGGAGAAAAGGCAGCTCATCTAGCAGGCTGCATCTGCAGAGATGGGAGCTCTCTTGAAAAGTTCTCAAGCACACGACTCGGTTCAGAGTAACACTTTTCAGCCGATAGCCAAACACCAACACGGAACGGTTTCAGTTCGGTCGCATTTTTCAGCGCACACAAAGCCTAACTATGGGGAAACTGGGAGCGATACAGTCAAATGGTGGATTTGGTGGGACAGCAGCAAATCTGCTCCTGCCAATGTCTGAAGAGCAGCAAAGTTCTCTTACGCGCAGCAAACAACACCTTTAAAACCAATTTCCCCCCCACAACTCCTCCATTTGCATTGAATAATGAAGCTGCTGTTGTCAAAGAAGAATTCTCAGAGGAAAACTGTATGACCAAGAAATACATATATCATAAACCCAGGGTCTGCAATACTTGAGGAAAATATCTCTTTATGTTTCTGTGGCCTGCACGAAGTTACTCCGTGGGTTTTACCCAAATCCATCCAGCACTGGCTTACTTTCTACTTCAGGTAACGCACATTAAGAAATGTTTTGCAACCGCCTCCTTCCAGCAGCACCGAGGGAAGGAGCGGCACCCCGTCGCCGGCTTTAACCCACAGCCCTGCGCCAGCACCGCTCGACGGGCAGCACGGAGTCACTCACCAAGACAGAGTATATGTGCAGGCATCGGTACACCGGTGAGAAGTCCACCAGGTCCTGGGCCCCAGGCACCTAAAAGACAGCAGGAGATCAGTGTGAAATACGCAGAACACGTATAGGTAAGCACCACTCTCATATATCACATATAGCTAAGTGCAATTCCAATGCATGCAAGCCCGAAAGAGCGCGACACCGAGACTGCAGGTATGTACCAAGTAGAGTGATTATTGGTATCTATCTATATCTGACTATATTTACACTTTTTAAAGTTTCTTGAAGTAGGAAAATTTCATGTAATATTGCTCGCACTCCATTTACGCTCCCCTAGGAAATCACATTGCAGCATCTGGCCCTCTGTTAGCCAGCTCAGCAGAGATTTAATTTTGAACATAGGCTTAAATACAAGTTCCAGCATCCTGGCACAAGCTGTTCTGGTACTTATGCAACGGGGGGGGGAAAAGAAAAATCTTATTCCCTAGATTTCTGGTTTGATTTCTTTAAAAGCACAAGTTGGGTTTTTTTTTTTAATTGTTTTTCTTAAAAAAACACGCGCCACACAGACTCCACCACCTTTCAACAACATAGTGAGTCTTGCACAGGGACAAGGAGGAGCGTTTTTGAAGGGTGGGACGAAGGGAGGGAAGGCGAGAGGAAAGATCAGAGAAGAAATTTGCATACAAGAAGCTTGTGTCCTTTGGATATGTTCAAGCCAACACAGCATTAAGTTTGTTGGCCAAGGCATAAAGCTAAGGCAACCCTCCTTCTCCTCCAAAATCCAGAGAGGAGGGGAGTGTTCTGTTGACATGTGGTGGAAAAAAGGGGAGAAAGATGAAAGGGACCAATGGACAGGCCTGGGAAACATGTTTATTTTATGTATTTTTAATTATGCTAAAGAAGCATTATGGCTAAAAAGAGGGCAGGATGAAGAAGAGAGAAGTTTCTAGCTGGATGAGGGTATGTGAGCCTCAACCACCACTGCCCAAAGCGCCCGGGGCGAGCGGTCCTCCTCATCTAAAGCAATGGCTTCAAGTAGGGGAGTGCAGAGTTATGGGCTGGAAAGGGAAAACGGGGGATTTGGTTAAATAGCCTTTGTATAAAGTGGAACTGGAGCTGTTAAAGAATCCACTCCATGCAAAGAAACTCAGTCCTCAGCGCTGCACAGGTTCGTGGTTAGAGCTGAAACAAGGAAAGAAGCAACGGAGACAGAGCAGCCACACACGGCGTGGGAGCACCCCATCCCGCATCACCGGCATCGCTTCCAGACCCCCAAAATCTTGACAGTCCCAACCTGGTGGTGCAGGGAGGGGAAGGCGCTGAGCAGCTCAGCGGGAACAAGGCAGCAAAGAGGGTTTTTGGGGCACGGCACGAGCCTGCTCATCCATCTCACTGGGCTTTCCTCCCCTCCCTTGCACCAAGCGCTCCATCGTGCCGCTGGAGCGGCTCCTACAGACGGGCAAGGGCGGCTCGCCAGGCAGGAGGAAGGTTTCCGAGCGAGGGACGGGGCTGGCATCGCCGGTGTGACCCCTTCCACCTGGAACCCGGCTGTTCAACACGCCCCAGCAGCAGGGTGAGAGCCGAACCGAGGGCACGCAGCTGCGAAGCACGGCTCACCGGTCTCACCAACATCTCTTTTATAAGACTATATTTGACAATATTTGATTATATTTGACAATCGCATACACTAGGCAGCAGTTTTACTGTGTTAATGCCAATTTTATCATGCCTTCCTGGTCATTTCTTTTCCATTTGCAGTCTCCCGGGCCTTCTAATGCTCCCAAATCCAGATTTCAGCTAGTTTGTGGATACAGATTTTGCCTTGCTGTATTCCTCCAGCATTAAGCGTAATTGGTCTCCAGTTGGTAAAGCAGTAAAAGGCTTCTGGCTCAGAAATCCCCGATTGCGAAACTGCTGGAGATCGCTGAAGCAGACAGGGAAGTATCCGTACTCGCTCGACCCAGCCGTCCTCCGGCGACCGCCGTCGGCGTGGGGAAGCTGGACTGGACGGACCCAAGCCCACCCTGTGTTTTTCTAAGGGAGGAGAAATCTGTCATCCCTTCACAACATCATCAAAGCAGGCGATGTTTTCCTATGAATTCGAATTCAGGATCAAACGGTTTTGCTCCGCTTGGATTTGGGGCACTAGTTGAACATGGTCCACGGAGAAATATTTCTGATAAAGATTTGTGAAATCGGGATATTGCCAAAACCGGAGTTGACTCCCCCAGAGAAATTCTTTCAAAGCAGACTGCAACATTTTCACAGTCTCTGATCTTCTGTAAAAACTTTTAAGCCCACACACACACTCACAAAAAAATAGGCTGGACTATTCTGCAGAGTTAACATCTCCGAGACATGAACAGCTTTAAAATTGTTCATCTAGGTAGAACACTATCCGACGTGGAAGCGCAAGTCCTGGACCACAAGAAAGCTTTTTGCAAACAGAAAGAGACGCACCCAAAAACTGCGCTAGGATTTTATGCAGGGTATAAACCTACAATGTTTTAAGGAAAAGAACCGACCACCCCTTCCCCATACAGCCACAGCCCTACAACAGAAGAAATAATAATCCTATCATTTGAAATCTTTCCAGACTAACCAATATAGGCCTCTGGATATACAGAATATATGAAATTATCTCTGTGGCTAGTTTAACACGTTGCACAATTTAAACACATCTAATGTTTATATATTTAGATATTTATCTAATATTTAGATATTTAGACATATCTAAAAATTCAGGCTTAGCACATCGCCTTTAGCAGTGACTTGATTTTCTCAGCCAAAGCGGCACTACCAGTGTTCAAAAAAATAAATAAATCTTTGATTTTTGAAACTTGATGATGAAATGAGAACTAGAGCCGCCCCAACAACAGGACTGATTACTCCCCTGACATCTCCCCTTCAGCCTAATCTTTTTTTCCTTTTGATTTGCAGAACAAAGAATTTATTCATCTTGTCCAAAATTGTCCCAGTCCACAAAACATCAGCGCCACAAACCTCACTCCCAAACCCTGCATCCGGCACGTTCCCGGTGCTGGGAGCAGAGGCAGACCTGTCGGTCTCTGTCAACAGCCAAAACCTCTCTTTTTGCAAGACATTTTCAGTCAGGTTAAACACTGCCTGTAGCAAATTTAACCCATGGAAGCCAAGTTTTCAATGGGAATGTTCAGCTGTAGCTGCCACCAACACAAGGCTGGCCCAGAGTTAAGGGATGCTCTGATCCGGCTTCGGACAAATTTGTGATGCCATGGCTTGAATCTCTCATCCTTGCTAGTTTTTGATGTAAAGACATGACACAAGCACAGATACATTCACCCTTCTTTCAGCGAGGGGGAAAAAAACCTCCAGACTTCAACACCAGCAATTCAAGAGAGGTGTCTGATCAACCACCTCACAGTTCCACCACTGACGTACACGGATGAGCTGGTGCGGAGGAACACGATCGGGTCGAAAGGAGGCCATCGAGCAGGCTGGGCCTCTGCACGGGACGCACACGTTGTGGAAGGCATCCGTTCACCTTCGGGAGTAAAACTCTGCTGCTCAAAGTAGCGTTGGTTCTGCACTGCGTCCAGCTCTGGAGTCCTCAGTACCAGACAGCCAGGGACCTGTTGGAGCGGGGCCAGAGGAGGCCATGAAGATGCTCAGAGGGCTGGAACAGCTCTGTTAAAGGCTGAGAGAGCTGGGGGGGTTCAGCCTGGAGAGGAGGAGGCTGCGGGGAGACCTTACTGCAGCCTTTCAGTGCTTAAAGGGGGCCTACAAGAAAGATGGGGACAGACTTTTCAGCAAGGCCTGATGCGACAGGACATGGGGCAATGGTTTTAAACTGAAAGAGGGGAGATTCAGACCAGATATAAAGAAGAAATTTTTTGCAATGAGGGTAGTGAAACCCTGGCCCAGGTTGCCCAGAGAGGTGGTGGATGCCCCATCCCTGGAAACATCCAAGGCCAGGCTGGACGGGGCTCTGAGCAACCTGCGCTGGTTGAAGCTGTCCCTGCCCATGGCAGGGGGTGGGACTGGATGGCCTGGAAAGGTCCCTTCCAGCCCAAACTGTTCTATGATTCAACAAATCACATCTAATCTCTTTGGGTACCAGCAGCCGGGAAGCACTTTACCCCATGGTGAATGGAGGTACAGAACAAACTGTGCTGTAGATTTGCTACATCTTGTGTGGTCTCGGTGTCCTTTGACTGCCCCAGAGTGTCCCACGGCTTAACCTTAGGGCAAAAAACCTGAATGTATTTGCACAGTCAAGAGGATGCTCAGGATCCTGTGACATTGGAAGTGGCCAGATGGTCCTGCGGACTACCTCTTCTCACTCGGGCTCATGTGATAGGCAACAGGCAGACAGCTTCGTCTGGAAATAGTGAGGTTTCTCTCAGTGTCCAAGATGTTTTTTGCATAATTACTATGGAAGCAAACAAAAGGTGGAGGCTGATGGCACTTAACAAAGCCATCTATCAGGGAAAGCCAAGAGAGCTCTCGGGGGTCCCTGCTCTAGCTCCCAAAACGTTGTAGGAAATCTGTGACGCTCCCTTAGAGAACCACAACTTACTCCTACAGCCAGGTCAACCTGAAAGAACGCCAGAAGCATGATGAATTTTGGCTACACCTCACACCTGCTGACGTCCCAAGTGCCAAATTCCTCCTCCAAACAGAAAACTGTTGGGAATTTGATGATTTGTTCTTCAAAGAGAGTTGAGTGCCCGTTGTTCTGACGCGTGATGTCCTTCCTTAAAATCTCCCCTCTCCCACAAAGGAACACAAGGGCGTCCAGTTTGACCCAACCACTTCACAGACACCTGATCAGTCTTCTTTGGGGACAAGAAGAAAGAAGGCACAACGCAGGCGAGCTTGGCCTGCTGTATTCAACAAGATCGCAAAAGAAAAGTCACTGAAAATTAGAAGAATCTGGATGAGCTTTGTAGTTTTCTGGATGCTTTTTACTACAAAGGGAACAGCTGGCACAAACTGAGCGGACTGCGGAGCTACTCACTGTGAAATGCAAATTTTCCTTCTGCAACTTGACGTTCATAAAAACTGAATTTAAGCCTTCTCCCAGCTCACTTTACAGCTGGGCCTGCTCCCTCGCTCTGATTCTAGTGGGAGCCTCCACCTCAGGGAGGCATCTGCACTTCATCGGGACAAGTCTGGACCATAATGTCTCCAAACTGGAGAACACTAATGGAGTGGAGAACCGCATCTCGTATTCATCTCCTTGAACGCAGCTGGCAGAGCTCTCTTCTACTCCAAGGGAGAGAACGATCTACACTAGAATGCATGCAACGGTAGAAGCAAAAACCTTTTCTTCCTTTTCAAAGGTTTCCCTGCAAATTCTGCTGCAGGGGTAAAGGGATTGCTCCATACGGGTAAGGAATCGGGGCTCTCTAGAACAGCTCATCCAGCCTGGGTGGAGAACTGCATAACACAGCCTGCTGAAGGGCCTCAAATATATCCTAGAGTCAAAAAAACCCCATATATATATATATATATATTGACTCTCCTTTTTCCAGCCTGTGCACCAGGATCAGGAGCTCTCCTGCCTAAATTTAATCAGAAACACCTAGGACCATCCTGTTTTCAATTCCGAGCAGGAGTGGGCGCAAGGGGCCCTTCATTCTTCCCTCTCCATATTCAACCAGCCTTCACTGGCTGTCTTTTAAAATAGAAACCTGCAGTTACTGGTTGGCTTTATTGGCTGCGAGAGGTCAAGAGCAAGAGCTACCAGTGCAGTCTTTGGATGCTTCAGGATCATTTCTTTACTTGTCTACTGACTTTATTCTACAAGGGGCCGCCTTTCCTTTCTCCAGGCTTTCTCGTTAGCAGTATTCCGTATTTTCTTAAGCAGTATAAGCCTCAGCAATCTTGGTGAGAGGAGAGCACAGCAAATGACACATGCCCACTTGTTGCAGTGCCGTCCCTCTAAGCCCAGAAAGCCTTCTCCATCGCTCCAGAACATGGGGGCTCTGCAGGGAACGAGATGCAGTTCACTTGCACTCAGGACACTCAACACTAACAATTTTAAGCAACAGGGATTAACTGTAGAGACTCCAATTTTGTATTAATAGTATTCCTGCACAGACCAGATAATCACAAGGAGAGTCACACCAGAAGATGAAAAGCTAGGAATGAATCTGTCAACCACGAAAAACAATTTTGCGGTTGGCCTGTAACTTCAGAGAACCCTTACCAAAGAACCTCCCATTAACATTTGACACACTGTACTGGTTTGGGCTGGGATGGAGTTCATTTTCTTCACTGCAGCCCATATGGTGCTGTGGTTTAGATGTGTGACCAAAGCAGCACCAGTAACACACCAGTGTTTTAGCTAGGTCTAAACAGTGCTTACACAGCACCAAGACTTTCTCTGTTTCTTACTTTGCCCCCCCAGCAAGCAGGCTGGGAGGGGACAACGCTGGGACAGACGGCCCAAACTGACCAAAGAGATATCCCATACCATGTAACGCCATGCTCGGCAATAAAACTGGGGGGAGTAGCTTTTTTCAAAAACAGCCATCGCTCGGACACTGGCTGGGCATCGGTCTGCTGGTAGGAGGTGGTGACTGCCTACCTTTGCATAGCTTGGTGGGGGGTTTTTCCCCTTTACCTGTTAAACTGTCTCTACCTCAACCCACGAGTTTTCTCACCTTTGCCCTTCACACCGTCTCCCCAGTTCTTCTGGGGGCCAGGGGGTGAGCGAGCAACTGGGTGGGGGCTTAGCCGCTGGCCAGGGTCAGCCCACTACATGCACAGACACTCCTTCAGATTTAGAATCATACAATCTTCTGGGTTGGAAAAGACCTTTAAGAGCATCAAGGCCAACTGTTAACCCAGCACTGCCAAGGCCACCACTAAACCATGTCCCTAAGCACCACATCTACCTTTCCTTTAAATACCTCCAGGGATGCTAATTCCAATCCAATTCTGATTTCTAATTCCAATCCAATTCTGATTTCTAATTCCAATCCAATTCTGATTTCTAATTCCAATCCAATTCTAATTTCTAATTCCAATTCTAACTTCTAATTCCAATCCAATCCAATTCTAACTTCTAATTCCAATCCAATTCTATTCTAATTTCTCATTCCAATCCCAATCCAATTCTGATTTCTAATTCCAATTCAATATTGATTTCTAATTCCAATCCAATTCTAATTTCTAATTCCAATTCTAACTTCTAATTCCAATCCAATCCAATTCTAACTTCTAATTCCAATCCAATTCTATTCTAATTTCTCATTCCAATCCCAATCCAATTCTGATTTCTAATTCCAATTCAATATTGATTTCTAATTCCAATCCAATTCTAATTTCTAATTCCAATTCTAACTTCTAATTCCAATCCAATCCAATTCTAACTTCTAATTCCAATCCAATTCTATTCTAATTTCTCATTCCAATCCCAATCCAATTCTGATTTCTAATTCCAATTCAATATTGATTTCTAATTCCAATCCAATTCTAATTTCTAATTCCAATTCAATCCGATTTTAGTTTCTAAATCCAATTCTAACTTCTAATTCCAATCCAATTCTATTCTAATTTCTCATTCCAATCCCAATCCAATTCTGATTTCTAATTCCAATCCAATTCTGATTTCTAATTCCAACTCTAACTTCTAATTCCAATCCAATTCAATTCTAATTTCTAATTCCAGTTGACTCAAGCTTTGCATGCCCCACAAGTACCGCCACGTTTCACTCTGTCGCCTGGTTTTGCAAGAACCCACTCCACAGCCAGCGAGAGATTTTTTTTTAGAGTGAGATGGAACAAGAACTATTGCAGGACCAGATTTTTTTTTAAACAGGGAAATACCAAAATAGATCTATTCAAATCAATGTTTGTTTTCAAAAAACGTGTCCTTCCCACTCATTTTTCTTTTGTTTAACTTCTGCGCTATTTCCATTTCGGTGTAGGAGTCAATAGCCCACCCAGATGGTTTCAGGGCAGCGCGAGGGCTCTGGGTCGTACCCTACGGTTGGTCCCTGGGAAGAAAGTGGTGATCATCGCCTCGGTCGGCTTTGGGAGCGCAGCAGAGATGAAGAGGAGAGAACCGAACCGTGGGGGAAAAGGCAGAACGCGAACACAGAACCCCTTGAGCAACCCACACTATTTTAAACTTCAGAAACCTGTTCTTAACCCTATTCTCCGGCTGGTCGTAGACTTCAGGGCAACAAGTACTACCCAATTCAGCCACAGGTTATAGCTGAAAATACCATTCTCCTGATGTAAGAGCAATAAGAGAAAAAGCATCCAGCGTGGCAGATAAAACTCGCCTGAAGGTCCAATGCAAGACTGCATCGCAAGAAATGAAGAACACCCCAAAAAGCTCAACAGCTCGTGACCTACGCTTCGAGCAGGTATCTCCAAGCTGCCTTTCCTGAAGCACAGGGCAGGGCTCTCTCGCACTTTAAGCACTGTAAATCCCATCTGTCCCACTGCACGCGCCGTCCTCCGGCGCAGGGAGGAAAGAACCACCACCGCTGCCGGCGAGGTGACGCTTTGCGGTTCACAAAACCGACTGACTGCCGGTCTGAGGAAGCAGCAGCAGCAAGGGAGCACACCAAGGAATTAAAACTGCGATTACAAAATTCTGTCCCGATGCAAGCCTTTTCAACGCAAAGTATGTCTCTGTCACCCAGACACGCGTCCCGCAGAAAAGGCCACGTATCTCATGCGCTACGCAGCAATTTCTCTTTTTTTAAATGAAGGATGGATACCAAACTGCCTTCCCAAGGAAGCACAGCAGTGGAGCACAGGAGACCCGGGCTGTTCAGTTCTCGTACAACACTTGGCCCCTCTGCTGAGCCTGCTAACGAGAATTGGGACAACAGTGCAAAATAACCCCAAACTGAAACACGCCCCGTCTTCTACAGCCTATCCTGCATCTTTATGACACACCGCATGGCAACGTGAATGAGCGAGGTGCAACCACCGCCTGAGACACTACCGATCACCCCCAAACCGTCCAGTCTCCTGGATTTGATGTTGTACAGTTACCTCTTCATCCTCATCCTCATCTTCAACATCCAGGATACCCGAATCCTGCTCAGACATGGGGCTAGTGTTTTTTACCTCCAGATCTGAGCTTGCGCAGACTTCTTTCTTGGACTTCTTTCCCCCGCTTATCCTGGGATGCTGCGAAACAATATTGTCCAGGTTTCTTTGCTGCTGTGCCTAGAAAAAAAAAAAAACAGAGTTCACATTTTACGATAGCATCCTTGGATTTATATTTTTTTCCAGCCAAAAGATGCAATTGGCCATGAAATATGACAAATGAGACAAAATAAAACACGCACTTAATGGAACGTAGAAATGTTGTGTTTTTCCTAACCCAGATACTCCAAAGAAACAGAAGATTCATTTCAAAACCATTCCAGGGATTATGCAACAATACAAACAATATTCTGACTCTTCACAAATCAAAATGCCAAACCCATCATACTGCCATATTGATCTATTTACAGCACAGATGCAGAAATATTAGCCCATAGGCCATGTGGTGACTGTCACAGGCTAAATTAAAGGACGTACTTAACCGTTGGATTTGTTCCTCTTTTCAACCCACGTCAGCACAAAACATTCCACATCTGGACCCCAGAGGTCCCTGAAAGCATTTTTGTGGTACCCCAGGAGAGCTTAATTGTACGTTGCTGATGTACAGAATGAGCTGTAAAAGGTATTGAACAAAAATTCGCTCGCTGGGAGAAGCGCCACGATTAAGGGAGCAAAACACACGGACTGGGCGGAGGTCCCACCAACGGCTGTCGATACCTGTTCCTCGGCTTTGGGGTTTGTTTGCCGCCGAGGTCAACGCGTGTGCTCTGCTGCAAAAACTCACTGGGTTTCCTCATTGTTCCCCAGCACAATATTGGACAGGAGAAATGGTTTAGCCCCAATTGTTCGAGAGAGTTGACCAAGAACTTCAAACTGAAGGGGAAGGGCGAGGAGGGGGGATGGGGGGGAGACGCTCTTCTCGCCACAAGTGCCAAATCATGGCCAAAACAAGGGGAAAAAGGCCAAGCCAACGGATGCAGTGGTTCTGCACATGTGGGCTTATGCTCTGGTGTAACTAGAAACTAAACACTCTGAAAACTTGAAATTTATACGGATATATGCACACAGATTTATAGGATCCCTTCCATATTTTTCTATAAATTGTTTATGTAGAAGAAGAAAGGTATATGGAAATCATCCAGATGTCTTCTGAAAGTGTTGTTTTAGACGGTAGGTTTCTTTTCAAAAAAGAATGAGTTTCATATATATTTCATTTATTAATAAAATCTCTATTTCTAGTGATTACCTGTACAACCCAAATCAAACCTGCACCCATGTCCCCAGCAGGGGACAAATGAGGTGGCAAAAGGGGACCATCCCCTGCCCACGCCAACGACAGCCTGGCTTTAGAAGGAAGAAGGAATACTAGAAATCGTATTGTAGATACTGGTGTCAGTGAAACAAACTGTGCTAGGAAAACAATGGAGAATTAAAACAAGTGGAACCTATAAATAAAAAAAAAACCCACCAACTAATTACTTTTGCTACCTGAACTGCAGAAAGTAGAAAGCTCTATCCAGAGCGCAAACCTTCAAAATTATTTCCTTTTAAACACTTAAAAGTATTAATATCATACAAAAATAATTTATGAGCAAGTTTTATTTTGACAGCCTCTCTCAGCTCAACTCCCTTTTGAATCCCTCCTTGGGAAGAACGACCCCATCAGAGACCGATCACTTGTGTAGTTTCTAGATCTGAGGAATATTAAAACCCAAGCGTGGCACGGATACCCCAACCCTTGCAAAATCCAGCGGGCTCTACCTTTGTGTAAGGCAAAGCGCCCTTCCCACCGCGCACATACAATTGGCTCCGTCTTAATTAATGAACATGGCAATTGATAATAAAATTAAATATATATAGCTGACACTGGTCGTGGTGGCACCAGGCACTGGAGCTGAACCTTACATGACGCGCAGCCCTGTGCCATGCCATAGCACAATCTTGACCTCTAGTGGTTGGAAAGCAGTAGTATTGTTGACGTTGACTACAAGTGCTCTTAGAAGAGAAGTAACGGCTGAGCAAGAGGACTACCAACCAAGCCTATTAAAAAGATCTCTTCAGGGATGAGTCTCAACAATGGGGATTTTTGCAACAAAGCCCCAGGAAAAGGTCCGTGTGAACACTGCTGAAGACAAGTTGTGCTAGCAACGTCAATACTTGAAGCAGTTGGGGAAAAAGTGGTATTTTTTGCATTAGAAATCTCAAACTTCAGAGGCAAAACTCTATAGAAAGACATTGCAACATCATATAAAGAGAATTAGGACTTCAAAAAGGGGAGCAAGCATTTGGTCCTTCTGAAGCCCACACAACAAAGAGATTCGAGGCTCGATTCCACTCTCAGATACGCCCATTTATGACATAAGTTACTCAACTGAAGCGTAATGAAGTTGTAACACTGAATCCACTGTAAATTACACCAAAAGCAAGCCCAGTGTACTCATTAAAATCTCTCAAATTTATGTAATCTTTTTTCCTCTAAAAAGGGAAGAAATCAAAGAATGGGAAAATGCAACGTTTTGGATAAAACATTGTGCTTGAAACGGATCATTAAACAGGGCGTAGCAAGATCACAGCAGAAAAAGTGGTCATGGGAGAGGAAAAATCTGGGCTCGCAAGCTGAAGGATGCTGCCGCCAGCTCTGAACTTTGCTGTCAAAGCCCTAAGCATGTAACATTCAGCATTTTAGGCTGAACACAGAATTAGTCTCAACAGAGGACCTTGTGGACGTGTTCTCAGGAGACACATTATCTTGCTCCCCAATCTCTTTTTAAACAAGAAGTACTAACGTCATCCTTCAGCTTCAACTATGCTCACACGAGGAGTACAGTAGTACGTAACACCTATTAACCAGCTGTCAATGTCGATAAGATCCAGATCAAATATTAATAAGATCTGAATCAAAACCCCAAAGTCAAGAAAGTCTGTCCTTCCAGAAAAAGCTATCGCTCTATGCCAGAGTTCAACATCCAAATTCAAACACCATGTTTTGCATTTTGCATACGTTAAATGCAAATAAACTTAAGTTTATCAAGAGAAAAATGTTGACCCGAATTAAAGTCCAGGGACCTACTGGGAAAAAGAAAAAAGGGAAAAAAAAAGTATAACCCACATCCCAGAGATCCACAAAACGCAGCCAGAGAGATGCTCCCAATGGCACAAAAGCGTTGCAGCCTACCAAGAGCGATTTTTACCTTTAGGAATTTGGGGTGGGGAGGAGAGGGAAGTTCTAAATTAGGAGAGATTTGCCAGGGATTTCTACCTTAAAGACCGACAAACACCCCCAAAGTAACCCCGTCGATGTTTATTCCCTTCCAGCACACCGCTGAACATCACAGCACGTAACCCCCATCTCGCACGGCCGCCGCTCCGTCGTACGACGGGCGCAGCCCATCAATAGCCGGCTGGGAGCCCGAGGAGTCGGCGCAACGCAAGCAGAGCCCATAACCTAGGTGTTACGCTAGAACGACACAACGTACACGCCAGAAAAAATAGTAATTGCTTTTCCATTAACAGGAGGGCATTTCCCCCGCCCCCACTCTTGGCAGGAAACAATCTGGACTGAAGTGACCTATAAGTGAGAAATATCAAATTTTCTTTAACTTCAGCAGGCTTGGGTGAAGTCACCGAGGTTTCAGTTTCACCTTGAGAGAAAGAGCGAGCTGGGGAGAGGCCCAGAGGAAGCAACTAAGGAGAAATTTGGGCTTAACCGCCAAGGAACTCCCCGCTCCTGCCCCCATCTCGTTACCCGCACCTTCCCGGGCTGGGGGTGCGGCAGAACAACTCTGCAATATATTTGACGTCGCACATAAAGGATGAAAAATGACCTGCAGAGCAGGCACATTTGGATTTTAATGTTCTGTTTCACATAAAGGCATCTGTAGGGAGCCCAATGAAGAGGCACACTTTAGAAACCACATCAAAGCGCAGGCGACACTCCAGCGTGCCCTCTGAAAACGGAGGGACCTGGGGCTACGGGGGAGGCGAAAAGCCCTCAAGGGACAAAAATCAAATAAAAAATCCCCTTACCTTTTGGTGTGGTTTACATGAAAGCAAGTGCATTTTTGTATTATTCTGTAAAATTGCCTCTATTATACAAGACTATCAATCTCTTGACTCTCTGCTTAATGTGACGATAAAAAAAAGGTAAGAAACCAAATGTCTGCTCGTAGCTAACGTTACATTTAGCAATAACACACAAAGCGTTTGGTTCACGTAGCTGAAACTCCCTCCAAGCGCAGCTACTTTCTTCGTCCAGGCAACCAGCACCGCAGCCTGGCAGCCTCCTCGCAGCACCGCAACACCCCACGCCGCTCTGACACGGCAGAAATCCCGGCCCCCTGACAGCAATGCTATTTCCAGGCTGGTTGATATAAGAAGCAAAGGCAGTTTCCACCTCCAGGTTCAGGTTTAGGTCAGTGACCTACGTTTGCTGTTGTAACCGGACCGAGGCTGGCCATCGGGCAGTCTAGGAGACCTTCATCTCCACAGCTGAGAAGTTGGTAGGTTTTGTTGGCTGAATGCCACCTGAAGAATCAATCTCTTTTGCTGTTGTTCCTTGAGAAACAGAGAATCAACGGAACAAGGGAAGAAAGCACTTCTACCTTTATTACACCTTTTCTCTCCCCAGCTATCCGCTTCTTTTCTGTTACCTGTATGCCACTCAACCAAGTGCTCAGCCTCGCAGGACGTGGCTTTGGGGGTTTCCCCTTCAAGCCTGTCATACAAGAGTCCTAAATACGAGTCCCCAGTACGAGTCCACCCTGAAATGGCTGCCGCGAGCTTCGGAGCAGCAACTCCACCTTCACCACCCATCGCAACTCAACCGAGCCAACCCAACCGACCAAGCGCACAGACGCAACGTTCTGCATGAGAAATTAAACGCATTGGCTTAAAACACTAGGGAAAAGTAGTAGTTGATTTTTTTGTAGTTGAATTTTTCAAAGTAACTTGACCGCTTGGCATCAAGCGAACACGGCCCCATACCCGCAACGCCAGCCTGCGTAGCTAAGCTGGGGAATGACATGGAGTAGCAGAGCAGGTCATGGACTCCCCCAGGCTCTGCCTACAGAAGCCATACCCATACATAAGGGAAAGTTGTTATACCACCTACGTGGGGAACG